TTAATGCCAAACAAACAGTAGACTCGATCGACGAGCGAGTGACGAGAGGAGAGTCCGCCACCAACGAAGCAACGACCGGCTAGCACCGAACACATTCCCCCGCACCACGGTCCACCCTACCGCTCACAACTTCGAAAATGATAAGAGCGAACAACGAAGGGAGAAAACTGGCCCTCTATCCCGAGAACAAGGTCAGCTATTCATGCGGGAAGGGTCCACTTCGAAGAAAAGGTCGGGGGCATCCTGTTCTGAGTCAGCAAGGCGCGCCTAGCTGGGCTTTGCTTTATGGACGAAGTCGAAGGAATCACAGGCGAGTTTGGCGGGTCCATGCTTCTTCTTTCCTTGCGTGAACTCGTGATGCGCACGAACACCCCGAAGAAAAATATTCCGAGTGCCAAAAAAGGCAAAAAAGCAAAAGTTTGGCTTTGGATCTTGAATTAAAGTGGATTTTGGATTGTAAAACAGGGTTGCCAAACGTAAGTCTCACAAGATCACGCGTGATCGCCGAGAAACCGCCAACCGCCTCTCGGTGTGTCTGAACCATAGAGATCATATACTAAATCTAGAGGAAAAGGTCCGCCATTTTCCCATACATTCTGGCTGCCGCAAGCGGCGGATCATGCAGGCAGACCCTCTGGGTCCCAAACACGGTTACATCATCAGAGCAGTTTCGTGAACTTCAACAATCCACGAACTTACCGGTGGAAAGATACTCGCGTTCTTTTCGAAGGTTTCTTTTTGCATAGCGCGCAGATGTACGGCCTCGCGTTAACGCTAAACTAAACCATATACCCGGCTTCGCTGGTGGGGCGCGGCTGGGTGCGGTTGAGGAATACGAAACTGCGCAACCACCAGATTTCCGAGATTTCGACAGAAGGGAAGTTAATGCAGCGTAATGACTTTATTACTTTTTATAAACGTTAGAATAGCTCAGAATTTAGTTTACAACGTTAAATTATCACTGTTTATATTGCTGAGAGTTTTCACTCTTCGTGTTTACCATGGCAACGTTGCTTTCTTTCTCTCGTGTTCTGTCGCTCTCTTTTGCGATCGTTCACTCGGGACCCAGGATGTCGGCGCACGGGATTTGCCACTCCTCCTCACCCACCTTTACACCCCTGGTCTGAACGGGGTCGCTCGCAAACCGCATCCGCGACCGCTTCGCGAACGCGGATCCGCTTCCAGTGTGAATGCGCCATTAGGTTGCTTCAATTTGGTCGGTTTCGGTTTCAACATGAACGCGATTATGATGCTGTTTTATGTTACTTTCGATTAATTTTGCGATATAAATTTCTTTCTTGTAGCACACAGCGAATGAAACAATAGTACTGAGCCACTTGGCAAACCACGAAGGGGTTTCGAGCCTAATTTGAGATATTTTTTTACGAACACTATGTGCGTCCGATTCCGTCCATCGTAAACTCGGGCGAGGTTCGGCGGTGAAACAACTGCGCTGATGCACAGGGAGGAGTACCATTGTCCACGGTCGTACCCGCAAACAATTTCCAGAAAAAAAAAAAAAAAAAAAAAAAAGAGCAGGACAAGTTCTGCCTGCAGCGTGCGCTCGTTGCCTGCAGCCGTGCCTTGGCTGTGCGTGCACCGAGCGGTACGGAAGGTAGATAGCTCGCGCTCAAGTCAGATATTGAACTGATCATCTTATATTGCAACAGACTATATTGCATCACTGCTTAGTGAAAGAGCAGGTCGACAACATGATCAACAATCTGCTGAATCACCAAAAACAGATGAACTGACGAGTTTACTGTTCGATGTTTGGTTTCCGTACACCAACATTTTCCAACTTCGAGACTGGAAACGTCTTTTATAATGACTAAAAAAGTTTAATATAATCACGTAGATAATATAAAAAAGTGATATTGTTTCTGCCTGTTTTATTTAAAGAAATTAAGCGCTCGAGAAATATTTTGATAGACCAGCGTAGGCTGACTAGAAGATGTCTTTAACTAAAGCACTCATTAACAGCATTTCAAAATATTGGCCTTATGAAATAAACTTTTTGTTATATGGACATTTGCTTACGACGTTCTCAAGGTATAAATTTGGTGAAATAAATAAATGCAAGACTTCAAATAAAGTCTGATATTCATCTTCTATAAAATTTACCGAATGAAATTGAAGAGTGCAAAAGAAATGATCTCCGATAAGTTTGGCTGAAGTCGAACGCCAGGCGCCACCCAATGGACCTGTGTAGAAAGCTGTTCACTGATTTGAAACGATGCGCTTTGCACATTTTGACGTCGCCAGCTACTGAAAGTAACTCCCTATTCGCCGTCGACAACCGGCTGCACTCAGGTGATTTTCATGCAGAAGGATCGTTTACAGCGTCACATTCTGTGAATCATAGGCACTATCAAGTTGTCTGTGACAGTTACTTACGCGGAGAGTCCAAATATATGTGGTGAAATAAATTAATTCAAACTGCATGGTTATATTAAAAAATGACTTAAGCAACTGAAAGACTATGGACATGGGACCAAGCACGATATACTATTCCGTGGAATTCATAGATGTACCGATAAAGTGAATGCTTATATCACACACGCGATTAAGAACGTAAAATATATATAGGTGTGATATTGCAAACAGACAAGTTGCGTACTGTTAGGGTACCATTATTTATAGCATAAAAAATAATTCGTACAGGTGTAGGCCTTTAGCGACCATGAGTGGAAGTCTGAAATAATCAATAAAAACGTGCTCTCCTGCCGCAATACACGCAGTAGTTGAGGGTAGTACTGCCGGCTGACTCAACTGCTATTTAAGTAACGGAAAAAAGATATGCTAGTTTATCATTTACAGAAATAGAACAACAGAGAGCTCTAGGCTGATTTTGGAGTGGCCATAACTATTCTAAAAACGCGAACCACTTCACAACGGCAGCCACGAGCGAGAGTTCGATGTTCCGTACAGCCCGCCAATACAGCTCAAAGATGGAGAACGGCAACCTCCCGGTTTGTCGTCTGCTAGAGGAGTCGGGCGCGTGCCCTCTCTCTCGTTTTACCCCGCCGAACTTCCCGGATGTATGGAGAGGGCGCTGCGGTCGAACAAAATGGTGCCGCCCAGAGAGCGCTAAATGGAATGGTCTATAGCAACGGCTTGTTTGGAGCGGCGACGTCCCACTTATGGGGACAATTTTTGCTAGGGGGAGCGTTGTCCATCTAAACCGTCCCCCCCGACTTCAGCTCTTGTGGCGTCGTCGCATCCTACCTCCATGCGTAAAATCGATGCGAGCGTTAGTGACTAGCCACGCTGGATGGCCGCGGCCTGCAGCGCCATTTATTTCGTGGAGATCTGCCTAGTCACACTAAAGGCTCGTTTCGTAGACACGCGATTATACTAAGCAACACCCGATACTTCGCGATTATACTAATTATTGATTTTTTAGCAGCCTCTACCAGCCATAAATTTAAACGACCCAACCCCATTTAACATTTCTGCGATAGAATAATATAGACGCTTCCGCCAATTTTGCGAGGAAATTGCACGCCAACCATTCGACAGATACCTAAAACTCTAATACCAGACACGAACTGCAGTGTGTCAATAAGCAAGTCTAAGCACCAACTTGAACTTTGCTTAGACAATTCTCGCTTTCAACAGATCGGCTGTGTGATTGATAAGAGCAGCTCGAGCTGAACGCGACGGCTTCTACTGCCCAAAGCCGATTGGTTAAAACAACTTAGTAGAGTTTGTAATAAAATAAATAATAAACAGATGCAACTGCGTCAAATGTGGACTAGTGCTAGAATTTGCACTATTTTTCCTGATTTTATTGGTGCTCCTCTTAGGACGGCATTCATAGTGGTACACAGCCGGCTCAAGCTTGTGGTTGTCACAGTTGAAGCCGACTCAACTGCGGACAGATACTCAACTCTCGGCACACGGCTGTAAAGTATTCCGAGCACAGGTGAGACTGGTTCGTGGGACACTAGTTCTCTCTGCAGACGGCTCGCACAAAATTATCTTGACGTGCCTCACACCCACCGTCCCAGGGGAGGGCATTTTTTTCCAACAAGGGTAAAAAAGCGAAGCTTTTTCTTGCACTGTTCATGCAGTCTACCGCGGAGCACAGATTGCTACCAACCGCAAAAGAAACCTTCAACCTTGAAGCTTTAAAAAAATCGTATCAATCACTGGTTCGCGACTTTCCAAGTCGCTAGTTTGCTTTTTTGCGGCAGTCAAACCCGAATAGGAAAACTTAGGGATTTCTCAATGCCGCCAGAAGAGTGTCGCCCCTGGAACTTAAGCAACCGGCATACTTTTAAAATTCAGCAACTCCATGAAAAAATATTTTTTATAAAACATTTTGTCTAGCAGTTGGGAAAGGGTTATTGATATGGTTTGCCAATATCCAGCCAAACGTAACACTATAAAGAAATCGGTGGCGCTCCCCTTGAAGAGTGCTTCTCCCTAACACAATACTTCCTTCCAATCCAGTCACTAGTCATTCAGAGCCCCCCATCCCCCATGAACCGTGCACATTGACAAACCACGCCCAGTGTGGATTATAAAACAGACAGGAAAACATAGCTCCCTTGCAAGAATTGGCACACACCAAAGCAAAACACAAGTTGGGATAACTATGCAACTGATGCTCGTCACCTGTGACTGTAAGCAGCGAGCACCCAGCAAAAAGCCTGCATAATGTTACGTGCACCAAAGCCTCCCAGTTCACAGGACTGAGATAAGACCATTGCAGCACTGCTCTTTTGTCCAAGCTCTGGAGGTATCTCAATGGACAAAGGACACAGAACAAACCCTTTAAGAGAACCTTGCTCACCAGATCCTCACTTTGTCACTGGTTGTGTATGTTCACACCAGACACTACCACCACCTCACTAACTACAATAAAAAAAAGTTACCGTAGTACCTATCAACCAAAACTGCAAAAGTTTTCCCCGACTGTGATGCCCGCTAAAAAAAAAGCACGTCCCGACCAAAAAAAAAGCATAGACTCGAATGGACAGAGACGCCAAGCGGAGATGGCCAAAAACATTTTTATTAACCAATTTTCTTCCTTTTTGTGTATAAATTTGTCATCACCATGTATGTATATATACAGAAATATATGTGTGTGGCAATAATAATACAATAATATCCTTAACTGCAATATAGCGTGGATTCGTGCATCGGGAATCTCTTTGTTCCTCTCACAGAAGCAAGATTACAAAAAAAAAATCACTAAAAAAGGAACCAAGGAGGGCTTGGAGTTCCCCTCTCCACCACGAGGGGGGGGGGAGGGCAGAGGGCGCCGGTGAACGGGATCGTGGTGAGAGCGGTGCATTCATAGACTCTAGGTACTTTACAAAGCTGCGTAGGTTCGCTTTGACCACTGCCCGCAAGACCGCGCCCGCGGAGCTTTTTTTTTTTTCTTCTTCATTCGCTATGCTACAATATTTATAAGGACGAGGTGACATCCTGCCATGCGTCGCTGCTGTGTTCGGCGTTTCGCTGTTGTTGCGGCGGCACGGATCGAACGAACACGTTTAAACTCCCTCCAAAAAAAAAAAAAAGACGAGTGTGACGAGGAAAGAAATGCACAGAGATGAGGAAGGAGGGAGGGAGGGAGGGAGGTGGGGGGGCTCCACGGAAACTATGCTGAAAATGAAGTTAACGAGATAAATACTTAAATAAAAAGACGAGGAAACAAAAACGGAAAAAATGGGGTGGGTGGGGGGGAGGGGGCGGCGGTGGCATTCCAAGTCTCTCGGACAGTTTGCACGCGCAGACGCGCAGCACATACACAAACACGGGGGCGTCCTCGCACGACCCTTCCCGAGGGCCGCTGCGCTGGCGACATTCGCGTCGACGCTCCTCGAATTTTAAAAACCGACCGACAACAATGTGGATGGAAGAAAAAAAAACAAAAAAAAACAACGGCGGTGCGTGCAGTTTGATATGCTGCCATCGTTCGCGTGGGTGACGAGGGGGTTTTCCGTTTTTTTTGTTTTGTTTCTCCACGAGTCCGGCGACGACGACGAGGCACGAAGGGGAAGATTCCGACGGCTGCCGCCGGCGGTGACGCGTGGTCCGCGCGGGGTGCACTTTGCTGGCTGGCTTCCGACGGCTGCTCCAGCAGTTCACTGGCTGCGGCTTCGACCGCGGTCTCTGTACAGGGCGGGAGACACGGGTGGCGGCGCACCTCGCTCAGTCTGGGCTGGGCACCCGCGACATCTCGCGCAAGCACTGGGCGATAGTCCGCGATGACTCCAGCGGCGACATGGCCACCGTCGAGAGCTGCTGTTCGTACCGCCGCAGGTAGCTGCAAAGGCCGTGCAAGCGTCGTTAGAGCGACCAATCGGACGGAGAGGTGCGACGCCTCTGTCCATCCATTTCGTGAACGGTCGCGAACAAATCGTGTCATGCCGCAGCCTGTTGCGAGATTCGCAGATGCCGACATTCGATCATATGAGTTTGCAATTCTTGACAGTGCTGTGCTCAGTGGAGTTGCTGAAAGCCAGATCTCGATGGCTGCTAATCTCGCAACATGCCGACACTTGTTGCAAGCAGTTCCTCCTACTGCCAACGTGACGCACATGCTTGCGCAGTTCTATGCTGCGTGCTGCCGCGGTTTCATTGGCTCCGTCTACGACCATACTATCCTTTCCGAATGCTGTTATCGAAGCGATTCCTGATAATTTCTTCCATCGTTCTAAGCACCTCTGCCTAGGACACTGCTTGCAATGACCACTTGTACGCAAAGTGTGAGGAATTTAAACCAACTTCATTGAAAAGAATGCCAGCGACAAAATGAATGAGCTATTGTACACCTAACTTCCAACAAGACTTTGTTTTTAGCAGGCTGTACACACACTGTAATATTCAACATAGCACATGTTTCATGTTGGAAGCCTGAACACAGTGTAACCATTGTGCCATAAAGATCTCTTATCGTACTAAACATGCGAGGAAGAAAATAATTGTTTTCTTCGACTTGGACAGAAAAAAAAATAATTTTATGTGAGGCTTATCACGTGTAAGTGCCACTTCACTACTAGGTAGCTTTCAAAGGTGTGCTTGACTACCTTGGTTTAAAACATCATGACAAAACTACAAAGTAAATATGAGACAGACGACAGCACTGCACTGCCCTTTGCTTGACTCTACAGCAAATCATCCCAATAGCACAGTAAACGTACAAGGAGAACGAAACCTTGGATGCCTGAAGAAGCCAAGTCCCTTAGCAAAAACTCCGACTGCAATTCGGACGCTTCCGCAATGTTTCTTTTAATGTTTCCCACGTTAGCTTTCGTCACCTTGTTTAGGCATGTTTCCTTTCCCATCAAGTTGTGGTGAGTATGCAATGTTCTACAGCAGGGGTTCTCAAACTTTTTGGCCTCGCGAAACCTCAGGAAGCCTCAAAAACTGCCGCGGAACCCCCGCCCCTCCTTATTTGCCGACCGAGAAGCAACAGATGTGCAATTGTAGGCAATTTTGCTTGTGTTGCTTCCCATATACCCCCACCATATCAATGGCGATGTCAGCAAAAAGTGAGATGAAGGCGCTTTGCATGGTCCTGCCGCACGCGCAGCCTGCGGCAGGGGGGGGGGGGAAGGGGAGGGGGGCAGAGGGGAGGGGGGTTGCAATTTGGGTGCTCGCGGAACCCATGAGACCATCTCGTGGAACCCCTGTGTTCCGCGGAACCCAGTTTAAGAACCCCTGCTCTACAGACACGGAACTCCTTCTGTAAGGTGGCTTCACATTCCACCGTCATTAACAAAATTTAAGCATTGCTCTGCGGTCTTGATAGAATAATTGACAAGATCGGAGTTGCCCAACGCCCAATTAGGTGAGATGGTAGGTCGGCAAGTGACCTATCTTCCCGGATGCTACCAGTGCACCCCAGTAAGAAAGAGCAATGCCAACAACGCCGCTTTTGCGGGGTGTGGCCAACTCACCGTCGTGCCAGGGAGGAGTGAGTGGCGAGATTCCGGATGATGAGGGCAGAGGTGAGGCGAATGCTCTTGGCCAATGCCGACTCTTTCTCGTCCTGCAAACGCAGAATTGCCCGTTACCACTGCACTACAAGTCACCCCGCAAAAAGGGCACCACTGATGCAACCAAAAAGAAAGCCACGAGACCTGAGAACAGATAGCTATTTCCAGAATCCACCAGGAAAAGAAAGAGCGAGAGAAAAAATTCCGAAGACACCTAAGCACTTCTTATGAGTTGCGAATGCGAAAGCGTAAATGTCGTTCTTCCACTCCCTATATTCGTCTGTTGCGGCCACCAGCCGCAACAGACGAACTAAGGAGGTTGCGGCCAGTAACCGAGTGCGCGCTCTCGTGAAGCGGCCAGTGCACGAGGCAATGAGCGGCTTTGAGCGCGCGTGCTGGAGGCAGGGCACATACCCACTGTCAGCAACTATGGGCACGTGCCCAGAGATCGGGAAAGTGCGGAGAGAGCCCCGAAATGCGGCGACTCACCGAGGCGTCCCTGTGGCTGTAGTAGGCGAGGGCGTGCCTGCGGATGGCCAGGAAGGCCGCATCCGGGGCGTAGCCCGGGTGTGGGGGCGGCTGAGCCGGGGGAGGCAGCGACGCCTTGCCGAACTGGGAGATCTGCTGCCGACGCACCGCCTGGATCTGCAGCACCTGCTCGTTGCAGTGCCGGTCCTGGAGGGGAGGGGGAGAGAGACGAGACGCCTGGGTGAGCCGGCGGCATTGAAGTCGCGGAACGCATTTTTGTTGGCGGAGGTGGCGAAAGAGCGCAAACTCCGTTTTGCTTGACGACGAGCTGCAGGGGTTACTACGAGCCGTCGAAGCCGATCCACTTGCCGCAAGTGTCGCCCGACCTTTGGGAGAGGTGGAGCGACGCACGAGGTGCGTGGTCACGCGAGACAGTTGCGGTACTGGATTGCCCAAGATGACTTTCAGCGTCCACTGCGGTCCGTCGTGAGGTGAAATGGGGTATAGCTGGCCGAGTTGATGCGCAAAATGAAACAATGCAAAAAAAAAGACAAGCACGAGGAGAAGGTACACAAACGCGGCACTGACCGTCTACCGTTATTTTCTTTCAGAGCGAAAGACATAAAGAAGGTGCAGAGAAAATTGGACAGGGCATCCCTTTTTCAAATTGTTCTGTACAACACTGTCGAAGAAATGTGCCCGTTTGATTAATAAGCGAAAATTTGCTGTCGGAAGAAGTAACCGATTTCATACCGACGCAAATGTCGGGTAATGAAGTTTAAACCACGACCCACCTACACACTGCTTTCCAAGCCGTCACTTAGAACATCACAGTCGCTCCGAAACAGCTCGCAGCCTGTCGTGCTCTACCCTACGCGGGAGCTTTTCTGCTGCTGTAAGTGTGCGGTAGACCCTCTCCAAGGTAGTCTATCTTCTCAGGAAGCATTATTATTTTCCCCCTACCATTAAAAGCACACTTTAATCTTGCCGCACCTCGTCCATATCTCCGCTACCTGTATCTTCACTACAGAGAGGCTCTGACGATTTCACACCTTGTTCGGGGCCTTCTCATGCCCCTGGTCATGCGAATTAAAAAAAAATGGCAAGACACTACCGCCATGTCGCCTGGTACGCGTCTTCCACTAGTGTGCTCGCAGCTTCCCTCAAGGCGGTCCCTCGATTTTCGCCACGAAGCCGTAGAAGCCTCGTGCCGTCGCCGGCTGTCCTGGCAGCGCCGCAGCAGACGCGGTGAATGTGGCAGACGTCTGTTCTGCTGCAGGTCACTCTACAGCACGACGGTCCACGGAAGCTTCGGCAGCCGGGAGTTGGGACTCCGCGATGACGGCAACAATTACGTTCGCGCGTACGTTTTGCCGGGACCTCCAGTGCCGGCCAGCAGGATCGCGACACCCCACGACAGAACGCGACTACTTTTCGGATGTCGTTTGTTGCCACTTTGGGAACGCTGCGAAGGTATGGGCTGTACCAAAAATATTTTCCACTCTAAAAATAAACTACAGTATAGACCACTTACAACGTAACCGCTTATAGTGCAGGACCGGGTATAATGCAGCTTTTTTAAACCACCGGTTCGCCTCCCATAGAACTCCATGTAATTACATACCGCTTAAAATGCAGGCGCGCAAAGGGAAATACCGGTTATAGTGCAGTTTCTGGAACAGCCCGCCGACCGCGCCGGCGCAGCGAGCACGCTTCCCTGTGCGACACTAGATAAGGGCGTTAGCCGCGAGCGGCACTCATGGGGCAAGGAGGTTGCTCGAAGAAGCGGGAAGAAGCAAAGAGAGGCTTCAGTTGCCATAGCGACGAAGGGACGCACGCACGTGTCACGTGCGTGCGTCCCTTTGCTGCGCTGGAAACAACGCAACGACAGACCAATCGCAGGTCGAAGAAAAGTGTTCGCGCGCGTTGCATGCCGGTCGCGGGCCGGCTTCTTCTGTCGGCAAACATGGCATCGGTTGTGATCGTCGACGTAGACGGCGTGGTGGAAGCTCATCGTTCCGCGTAAAAGCGCTATCCTTGACTGTGAATTTTCGTTGTCTGTCGCTATGATAACCCAGCACGTACTAGAAGGGAAGATCCAACAACTCATACGGCGTTGTCGTGGTGGCACTCTCAAGACAGAAAAAACGCCCGTGTCGTCGTGTTTGTTTACTTCGACTGCAGTGGACCTAAGCATTTGTGTCCTCGAACATCGCCCGGATTTCTTATTTGGAGAATTTCATGCCTGTGCTCAAGTAGAAGGTATTACTGGCGCGTACCGTATAAAGGATGCGAATTTTCACGCGTTTTCATCACTGGAGAAAAGTTATTAGGGTTAGCAATCATGAATGCTCGCAACGTCCGTCCGCAACCCGCGACACCGTTAAAAGGCTGCACCAGGCAAAAGTCGCTTATTTCTTTCAAAATGTGTGACACACTTGAGAGAGAAGTGTACTAGTCTGGTGAAATAAAGACTTTCCTCAAACTAAGCTTTATTTTTTATCTAACATAAAATAAATTATTTTTCAAAGGTAGGCTGTCTCATGGCATGTATTTTGGCCTGAAAAATTGGATGTTTTGGTTATAGTGCGGTACTGCTCATAGTGCGGATTTTCGCGACTCCCGCGACATACGTTATATGCGGTCTACACTGTATACGCCAAAGACCGCTCATCCTTCGCCCAGATGTAACGCTCCTGGTCCGAACCAAACGCCAAGGTTTCAGAACTTGCCAATATGCACTCCGAGAGTTGGCGCCGGTTACCGAGAACAGCCCCCATTTTCCCACTGAAATTTTTAGAAAATCGCTAGTCACTTTTGAATAAGACGATGGTTAGATCCAAAACTCTGCCATCTCGTTGGGACCTCTAGCGCTACATTTAGGCAGAGGACGAGCGTTTAGCGACAGATACTTTATCCTCACACACCCACACACACAAAAAAAAAAAATCTTTTTTTTTTTTAAAGTTTGTTTTACGGGGGCACCAGACACATTGGTGTCCCGGGCACCATGCCGTCACCCGAGACGCCGGCAGGACCAACACCAGCCGTGGCGACCCTCCGCGCCTCCTCACCTGCAGGTGGGTGAAGAGGGAGAGGCGGCGGCGCTTCATGTCGTCGCACGCCTCCCACTGGCAGTTCAGGTCCCCTTCTCCTTCAGGGATGTGCACCTTGCAGGCGTGGTAGAACACCGCACTCGGCGTGGAGAACGTCCTGCACAACACGCCGCGCCACATCCCAGTCAGTGCCCCATGTCAGAGACCCTTGCCCCTGCCACAATTACGTCTGCTCACACACGCTTGTGACAGATTGCAACCGAGAATCTTAAAACCTCTCGCAACCTCTTACCGACGAAAAAACCGGCTGGCACCACTTGTCGGGCAGTCGCGGGACACTTGGCATTTCCACACTTTTCGCATTTTTGTGCGCATCATGCTTTCTTTCTTGGCTCGGGAAACTTATGACATGTTATTAACGACCATTTCTCGCAGATGGTGCCTGCATTTTATTTTGCAAATACAGCAAAACCTTTGCTCTATCGAAATGCAGTTCCAGTCACCTCATAGATGAGCCAGAGTGTCCTATCGTCACAAGAAATTGAAAGAACTCAATCGTAAGCAAACGCAAGTGTGTGGATGGGCCTTAGCTCCGAGCAAACAATGAAGGCAGTCAAACCTAATAAAAAGAACATGAAAAAAAAATTTTTTTTCCTTTTTTTTTAATTGTTGGAATAGTAAACGTGGACAATATAGACGTGTTTGAAAAAAGTGCTTATCCCAACTGCATATTAAAAGTTAGCCAACTCTGTGATTACAATTTTATTTAAGTTATGTGTACTGGCATTGCATCTCACGCCAAACATGCAACTCTGCAGCAAAAAATTTATTGTGCCACGACTTGACACCATACTCTATACTCTGTCCCACTGAAACCATGCAGTACAGCCAAAGCTACAGGGGAAAGAGTGTATCCCGACCTGTTCAAGAGGGAAAGGAGGAACAGGGGAATCCCAGCCCTTCTCTCCCATTTTTCCTTTCCCTCTTCTTGAACAGATTGGCATACACTCTCTCCCCTGTAGCTTCGGCTGCGCTGTAGGGTTTTAGTGAGACGGAGTATAGTGTATTGCGTACGAATCATTATTTTAGGGCGAGTCAAAGACACCCCGAGGCTTCAAGGGTATTGCTTTTCAAACCCTTATTGCTAGTTGCACGTTAGAGAACAAATACACTTAATGGACCCTTTTCCAGTAAGCCTCCGACACGCGTACACCCTCTGCCCTGGCCTCGCTTCCCGCTGTCACCATTTTCAGAGGACATAGTCCCCCATGACCGACACTGTCCGAACCCATCTTTAATTGTATTTAGTCCTTTTTGACATCCCTTCTTAGAGTGTCGGTAGCCTGGGGTGTAAAGAAGCAATAAAAATCGATACCACGGCCACAATGCCAATTTGTTTTGATGGGTGGAGGATACTTGGCTGCCCTTCGTTTGTAGTTTGCAGTCAACCCCCCCCTTCCCCCCCCCCCCCCCCCCCCCCCCAAATGGTGCTCGTTACTCAAAAAACATCCATTCGGACTAACTTTGTCGTTTCACGTGACTTTGTGGAACTGGGCGCAGAGCGAGGCCTCCCAAAATTGAACCCTAGATCGGAAAATTCACTACTCCGAAGCATACACAGCCTCGATGAAAGTTTCATCACCACATTTCTGCTTTTTCAGACGTCGTGTTTTGAGCACACACGGCTGTGTTTTGAGATGTCTTTGTGTTGTCCCTTTTTCTTTTCCTTATTTTCTTTCTCCCTTTGTCTCGAGGTTTTATAAGTATCACCATTCACCAGCTACTCTGCACCATTACGCTTATTCCGAATTTCGCATTGTTCCGGCAGCCAAATTTAAAAAAAAAAAAAAAGACAGCACCCAAAAGAAACCACTTCAAAGCACGAAAATAGATCTGCAACTCTAAAGACATGACAGATACCCCGTGCTCCTGTTTCAATACTGACAAACATTCCACCAGTTTTCACTAGATACATCTTAGTAAAAAGTTGCTTGCACCTCTCAGATGCAACCCAGCTAAGTGACTTTAGTGCCGAGTTATTCGCTTACTACACCTGCACTGAAAATGCGATTTTCAGACCTCGTGAAACGTTTTGACGTCGTTCCTTCTAGCAATTGTCCGCATTTTTAACGTATCTTAAGCCTTGCATACATGAATGTCTAAAGCATACCCCACTGTGTTCCTCAGAGTGCCCTCTCCCCAAGCACCCAAATTTTCCCAATTGACCCAGCCCCAAGTGTTTCCCAAGTTTAAGCAGTATTTTGAAATGTGTTACTCATGCACCGATACATAAATACGAGCTAAACGCAACCTATTTTGTGGTTTATTGTTAACAAAAGTGTGTTTGCCTATGTAACTGCTTAAAGGGGCGATGCAAAACATTTAACTTCAAAAGAATTACTGTAAAATATTGCGGAAGCGTCCACATTGTTCAAGCACCCGCCATTAAAGAGGTGGTGCAACAAAATCCGGACTTCAGTCAAAGATTTCTGGAAGTTGTCCTCTGACACTTCTGAAGTAAAGAGCAGAAAACAGATTTCCCCTGCGTGTCCTAGTTGTTGCGTAAAAAAAAAAAGAGAAATATTGGCATTTCGGGCACCCCTCAACTCATTCCCAGTCTTCGGGGTCACACCTGGTCACACCCCTAGTGACGTCATTCGGAGTGCCGTGTGGGTTCCCCTCCCGTGTGCTATCTCAGAGGACGCTTCCTCTCCCTCTCTCTGCTGACATTAGCGGGCGTTAGGCTGCAGCTTAGAGCCGAGCGAGGTCACGTAATCTTTTCGCCGTAGTTCCTTCGGCTGCCACTTGGGGCTGCTGGTGAGGGAAAAAGCTCGACTTTTGTTTTGCGATTATGCAGCGGAATCGTGACATTTTTAATGAAGGAGGTGTTTTCTCTATCCTCCGGGACACGATAAACAACGTAAAAATGACGAGATGCAAATTTTTTTAATCATAAAATCGTTGCACCGCCCCTTTAACATTTCCAGAACTTGGGAATTCTACAAATTATACGTCAAGCGCCCGATTTAACCAATCAAGTGCCCATGTCTAGATTAACGCAGTTTTCAGTGAAAGTGGGGTAGGTGCTCCCCAGGTGTTTTACGGTAGCACTTTGATTTTTACATTGTTTATCTTACCGAAAGGGATGCAGAAACTGCATTGTTCTTTCAAAATATTGCAATTCCATTGCACAACAGCAAAGCAAAGAGCGGCAATATTTTGCGATATGCAGCCACGAGGCAACCATTAAAACTAAAGCATGACGCCAACCTGGGTATGTTGTAAGTTGGCAAGATGTGCAGTAGTGTGATTAACCTACGCCGTTTTGGAGCACCTTCTGGAGCAGCCAAAACAGAGTTTTGGAGCAGCAAAACTGGCTTTTGGAGCAACTAAGACAGTGTTTCGGAGCAGCGCAAGTGGCTTTTGGAACAGATATCCTTAGAAAAAAAAAAAAGGATATTCATTTTAAGTGGTGCACACACAAAGGACACATTGCTCGCCGCAATCAACCAATTATTGTCAAGTGGAGATGGCTGTTCGATCGAAACCCATGCCACTCCACTCTGTCTCCAACTAATTCCCAAAATTGTATGCAAAATGTAACTGTCCAACATACGACAAAATAAAAAAAAAAAGTCCAGTCCAAAAAACTGCCAGGTCGGCAGGCGAGGCACAAACTAAACACAGGAAAAAAAAAAAGAATGTGAGTGCATCGATGAAAGACATCGCAAGCCAGGGTCAGAAAGTTCTTGGAGCGTTTTGTGCAACGACTGAACTCGAGACAAATAAGCATGCTGTGCGGGTTCAGCATGCAGACGTTGCCTTCTCTGCTTTAGCTCACTTCTCTCCACCAACATCTTTCATGGCTGATTTTTCACATACCGGGGTATGTCTCGTAAGAAAGCCCACCGAGAGAAACTGAGGTAATCAATACTTTGACATAGCAGTCTTCGAGCTAAAGGGATGTTTGTAGTAGCGTACTAAACAAGAACAGGATTGTTGATGAATATGCGGCAGTCTTACGTTTCAGTTTAGAAAGTGCCATAACTGCAGTGACGTCGGGACGGCAACATCGGACGTCGCGCGACCAAGGTGGCTGGCAGGCACGGACCAAATATAGTTTGACCACGGCCATTGCTTTTAAGCGCGAGTGCTTCAGCCCATAAAGTAACCCCCGCCGCGCAAAAAAAATGGTTTCGTTTCACAGCATGACGCCATGGCTGGTACCCAAATCGCTAGCGTCGGAGCGTCCGCACACGCCCACGTCTATCATTGAATTTTTTTTTTTTTTTTTTAAAGACGAGAGACGAGAGACGGCGGGAAAAACCATGCAAGACCGGATGAACGGTTGATGCAGGATACTTTGTGTCGGACGGCTGCTTGCACCACCGAGCTATGTGTGCTCAATTACGATACTCAGTTTAGTTTCGTATTTCAAAGACGACCAAAATTGGTCCTTTGGCGCAGGCTTGGCGCAGATTACCCATATTTTGGCAAAATGTAGCAGGATTTAGCAGGCTTAGCACTTTGGCGCAGTTTGGCGCAGCAAATCACATCACTGGATGTGCCATTATGTGTTCAATTTAAGGCTATCTTTTATGAATATTGTTGTTTCAACATCAGTTATTGCATCAAAAACCTCATATCCACAATTTAAAAAAAAAAAAAAACTAATGCAGGCAGGCAAAATCTGTTTTCAGTTCTTTACTTCAAGCGTGACAGGGAACTCCCACAATTATTTGACCGAAGTCCAAAAATTGTTGCACGGCCACATTGAATGTAACAATGCCGAACAGGCCGGGCATTCCTCAGTCATCGTTCGAAGCAGATAGGCGTTCCTCGTGACCAAGAAGTTGCAGAATCTCTGATCCAAAACGACGCAGCACAAAACACACTGCAAGACCTGCACACTCCGAATATTTCATGAAGACTCATTCCCCGACATACACTCGCAGCTCTCCCCTTTGTTCCAAAACCTCCCCAACATTTCTGGGCCTTTCCTACCAAGTGACAAAGGCCTAATAGTTCTGCGTAGCCACTCAGCCGCACGCCGCCCTTCCCTTCCCCCTTTCTTCTTCCCCTTTTCTTCCCTTCCCTCCCCTCCATCCTCCCCCCTCCCCCCCGTTGAGGCAAGCAAACAAAAGCGGAACAGTTACGCTTACCGCTCGCAGCCTTTCCACTCGCAGTTGTACACCAGCTTGGCGGGCTTGTGGTGGTGATGATGGTGATGGTGGTGGTGATGAAGCGCCGCCGCCTTCTTCTCCGCCTCCACGGAAGGCCTGGATGCTGCCGTTGTCGTCGGCGCAACTTTTGCCTCGGTTGCGTCCGACGACCCAGTCGTTGCCGCACTCGGCACCACAGTCACGATGGTCGGTGCCGGCGACGCCGACGGTGTCGACACGGTCACCCTCGCGCCGGTTGGAGAGTCCGTCGTGCTCAAGAGCTTTACCAAGTTCGGCTGCGGTAGCGACTGCGCGCCGCTCGTCGCCGCTTGAACCACCTGAACCGTCGGCGTTGTTGTCGTCTGCTGCGCGACTGGCGCCACCTGCCGCACCACCGTCGTCTGAAGCACCGAGCCGGCACCCGCTGCCAACTGCCGCTGTTCACCCGCTGCCTGGAATGTCACCTGCTGGCCGTCGTCGAGCCGCAGCCGCTTTGCGCAACCGCTGTCCCCTTCTTCCGCAGCGGAGGCGGGCCGCTTCGTCGCACCACTGAGATTCGCACCGTCCGTCCCCACGATGCCCGCCACCGCCTCTACGTTCGACCGAGAGATCGCCTTCGACGCGCTCTCCACCGACCCCACGATGTCCGAAATCGGCGACAGGTCGGACGACGTCACCACCTTCGCAGCCACCGCGCACGTGCCGTTGGTCACCACCACACTCACTCCCGATGAGGGCGGCGCCGAGCTCACGGGAACGGTCGGCGCGTCCACGCACTGCAGCATCTCTTCGTCGACTCCTCCGTTCTGCAGGGACGGGTCTTTCGACAGCGGCACCTTGCCCTTGTCGAGGAGCCCGTTGAGGAGGGGTGAGCTCTTGTAGACCACTTCGGGCGGCTTCTGAGGGTCTGCGGCCACAACGGGTTCCTCCACCGGGTGCTTGACCGCTGCAGGGTCATTGGCGTCACCACCCGCAAGGCTTCCGTTCTCGCCCACATGATTGTGCGCGATGCGATCCGAGGGCGGCGGCGGCTCGGTGGCCGGCTTGCTCTCCGGAAGTGTCACCTCCAGCGCGATGTCCCGCTGGAAGCCGTTGGGACGGGCACACACCAGCACGGGACCCCTGCAAGGGAACTTGTTGCTCACTTGTCTACCGACAAATTCTATAAATTGTCTACCACAAATTTCTCGCCTGCCGCGCGCTGTCGTCGGCAACATTTTGCGGCTTTCACTACTCGCATTCCGAGATTCTAGGGGCCCACAATGGCTGGGCGACACTCCTCCTCTCCATCTCGTAGCCTTGCGGCTCATTCAAAGGCACTCCGCAACTGTCCAAAAGCTTTTTTTTTTTTTGCGTCGTGTTGAGGGCAAGAGGAAAAAGAAACAATGCGATCGCCTTCCCCTGGCCCCATGCACCTACCATATTTACACGATTGGCAGTCAACCCCTACACAAAGCTCAACAGCAACAAAAAGAAAAGAGATATGGGAGCACCTTTTACACTGGACACGTGAGAACGATGGGGCGTCTCTTTCGAATGGCCTCCAACGAATGCTCGATGCCTTCTGACATGCTTTGGCTGTGAATGCACGTGCGAGGCGCGCGAGATGCCCAAGCGTTATGGAAACTAGGGAGCTCACGCTGGAGGCGGGACTGAAGCTGCTCCCCGTCGTTCTCACTTTGTCTACGACTACAGACCGATTCGTCCGCACTGGTGCTGTCGTTCCCGTCGTCACCGTGGCTACGTTCTCCAAGCACGTTGTCATCTGACAAAATCTTGCACTTCACAAATGACCACATCAACCGCATCTTTCCCGCTCGCTCGGTGATCGCGTCGCACGTCACGGGTAGGGACTGATTGCACACTTTTGCAGCGTGGGTTGTAGGCCTGACCTAACTCCGGAAGGCATCCCAACCTACGCAGACTTTGGCCCGCAGTAGCCTCTTCGTTTGCTGTCACAGTTAAAATCCTGCGCTGTTGCAGACGCCACTGGAGCACCACCCGCTCCGGTGAGTCAAACTTGCATCCAGTAGCACAGGTGTTGGTTGCTTCTGGATGAAGAATGGCCATAAGCGAGCACCGAAAAACTAAACTGCTCGAATCACGCATGTTAATACAGAGAAACGTAGTTGGCGCTCAAGCGTGATCTCGACACTCAATCAAACAGTGCGTGACCATGGATATCGCGAAAAACTGAGAAAAGAAGCAGCAGGGAGTAAACCTGTTCCAGCAGCCATTCCGGAGTAGCTCTTACATGAATTGCCGCCAACCAAGAGTCGGGCGCACAGTGTGGCGTTCACCGCCGTACATTTCGGCTAATTTGCGAATTGCCATCAATAGTACTCATTTGCGCAAATAACGAAGAAAAAAGAACTCGTAAAATAAGCGCACAGAATGCTGCAACGCTACAGGTACAACCGGCTGAACACGTAACAAGTCAAGGTGTTCTTAATATCACAATTTTTTTTGTTTTTTGTCAGTGGTGGAATGCTTTATTTCAATTATAAATCGATTTTCACTAATTGAAAAATGGGTTGACCTACATTTGTGCAAATACGGTAGCTACCGTCCGCATGGAAACGCAAGAGTGCCTTTAGCAACGAGCTGCGAAAGTCACCGAAACTTTGGGGTCTCCGGGACCCGCAAGACATTACGGCAGTGCAGGGCCTGCAACACCCACCTGGTGCCACCGGCAGCCAGCGCCTGTCCCCTGGCCAGGAGGGCGGCGCTAATGGCGCCCCCGGCCATGGGCATCATCTTGCCCTGCTGCGGCCGCACCACCAGCATCCCCGTCGTGATGCCCGTCGCCGTGTTGGGCACCATCACGATCGTGGCGCCCGTCGGCAGCGTGGTGCCCGAAGCCATGGCCGAAGCCACGCTCGAGGCCAGGCTCGAGGTCATCGTCGACACCATCGTCGACACCACACTCGGGGACTGGCACAGGCCCGATGCCAGGCTCGAAACCAGCACCTGGTTCTGAGCCTGCACCTGCTGCACCAGCGTCGGAGCCGAAGCCGGGGCCGAAGTCAAGCTCGAGACGAGGGCCGGCGTCGAGGTCGTCGCCAGCAGCGTCATGGGGAGGGTGGAGGTCGGCGCTGCCGTCGGCGGCAAAGCCGACGAGAAAGACGGCGGGAGGGAAGCGGCCGCGACAGATTCCGAGACCTGCGGAGCCGCGGCTGAAGCCGGAGTCGACGTCGGCACGGAAACCGGCGCCACAACCGAGGCCACGGTGGGGACCGAGACGACCAGCGGAGCGCCGAAGGCCTGGTGGGTCTGGATCGGGGCGGGGTTGGACACGGCGGTTGGGGTGGCCGCAAAGAGCGCCGGAGCCGAAGCCGCGGCCGAAGCCGGCCCCGGCGCGTGGACTGAGGTCACGACCGGCGCGACGGCCGCCGGATTGGGCTCCCTGCGGACGACTTCGACCTGGCGGGCCTGCGGCACGGCACTGTTGGCCAAGACGGGTGTCCCTGCAGTCGCCGGTGTCATGTCCACGTCTGCAGCCGCTTGTTGCTGCTGCTGCTGTTGCTGCTGCTGTTGTTGTCGCTGAAGATTGCGGGACACCTGGGAGCGAGAAAAGGGACCCACTCATTGCTTACCTCCCGCGACGGGCTCCCTCAATCTTGTTGCGTGGCTGGTGCCTGGAGCGCAACTCCCACTCCCGCGTTTACTGCAACCTAAAATGTTGTCTCTCAATTTCTGCCCAACGACGTGGCGGAAGTGTCACGTTGTCACTTAGCGCGATCCTGCAGGCAGCGTAGCAGCGGAGGTGAATGATACCGGTGCCCATTCTGCTGTGGATCATTCGCAACAAGACGGTCCACGGAAGCTTCTGCAGCGACGGGCTGGGACGCCGCGACAACAGCGACTCCCATAGCATGAGCTCCTTTTTTATCCCCCGGAACAACTACGAGCAGTTGCTGGAATCGCAACATCCGACAATGGAACATGACGGCTCTGCGATGGCGTTGTTTTGCAACTTTCGGTCCACTTTTGATGCGCGGCTGGTACACAACGCTGGTTCAGATGCGTTCCAGGCACCCTAGTTAAAGGGGCCGCAAAACAATTTTGAGGTGCCTTCAGCAGAGTGCATGCTTTCGTTTGTCCGTTTCAATTTTACAATTGTAAAACGTAAGAAAATTACGACGTACAGTGGAATCTCTTTGATACGATTCAACATAATACGTCTTTCGGTACAATACAATTTTTTGTTTCATTTGCGGCCAACATCCCATGAGAGCAGTGTATTTTGATACAGACAATACAACCATATTTTTGCTTGAAATCGGAAAATACGACTCTGAAAGCGGGTTCTCGCGGACATTTAAGAAAATTATGCCTCTACATTCCAGTACACATACAGGAATCATAAGCTCGAATCACATTCTAACTAGCCACAAACGGCCCGCTGCGCAGCCACAGCAGGAGAGTAACAGTTAACGCTGGAATGCTCCAACATGGCGCCCCCAGTCGGGCGTTGCTGTTCGCCATCAAGCAGAAAGTAGCGCACCCTGGTTTCATGTGGCTAGGTGTGCGTTGCGCCCGGTAAGTAGCGTTGGCGGTGATGGCCGCTTCTAGCGCAATTTTCGTGTCTCCGCGCATTTTCTCAGTGTCTCGCTTTGCCTGTTTGTTCCCTGGTGCCCCCTATTCACAGCTTTCGTGGTATCGTTAACCACCGTGACAATGTCAAGGATATGCAAGCTGCTGTCTCTAAAAGTAATAAATAGACGTAATCTGCAAGGTCGGCAAAGACCCGAAGAAGAAACGCATAGACCTGGCACGCGAACTGGGCATCGTAGGCAAGCGGGAAGAAATCCGCAACAGGGTGAAAGTCTTCGGCGCAAGTGTCAAGCAAACGAGAGGTGCGCAGCATGCACAGATGGAAGAGATCCTCCTGGGTTGGTTTAAAGAAGTATGAGCAGCAGGTGTGAACGCCGACGGTAAAGTTCTCCTCGAGAGGGCCGATCAGATCGCGAGCTAACCAACCAAATTCTGGATCTTTCTTTTTTTTTTTTCTTTTTTAACTTTCAAAAGACTTTGTTTATCGATACTGAAAAGAAGAATACCCAAACCGAAGTGTCGAAATATTTGAAGGCTGGGGAATAAAAACAAGTTTCTCACTGGGTATGCATATTTTAAATTTTTGAGCTCATTTTGGATAATACGATTTTTGGGTAGTAAGTTTTATTTTTCGGTTCCTGTGAAATCGTATCAACGAGATTCCACCGTAATAGGGAAAAAAAGACGAGGGTACATGTGGTTTACAGGTGATAATGTGCCACCAAACGCAACACTTTCATAAAAAAAAAAAAAAAAATGTCTGAACTTGGAAGACACGTGACACTATTTATATTCAAGTAGCGGGTTCTTTTTAACATTATTTTTAAACATTAGAAGTAGGGTGGAACGTTCCATTATTTCAACAACAGGGACGTCATTTGCATGTTGCGGTATTTTATAGGCTGCGACACGGGAGCCATAATATTTTCATATTTTGGGTTCACTGTACAATTCATTTCTTGGTGGAGCACTCGCTCGTGGCACGTGGCTCAGGCATTAACGGCTGTCAGCGCTAGTAAGAAACACGAATTTCATTTGGGAGCTTCAGGTCGGCAAGGTCACCTTGTTGGCCAACAGGCTCTTGATGAGGTTGCTCGATCCGCCGGGGCTAGACGTCGTGGCGGTGGCGGGGGTGGCCGGGCTGGCAGGTGCCACGGGGGTGGCCACGGCAGGGGAGGGGGGCGGGGAGGACCCCTGCGCCGTCCCCGTGGGGGGGGGTGAGCGACCTTAGAGGCGCAGACAGCTGCGCCTTCAGGATCGGGCTGTGGCTCGACACCACACCCCCACCGGCCACGGGGGAACGCAGCGATGCTCCTGCAGCTGTACGTCCAGAGAGGCCGCCGTTAGTCGCCCGCTCAAACACCAGTTGAATAGTCCAATGTTAATTGTGCGTCGATTAAAACAGTAGGAATAAGTTGCCTCCGTGACTCATTTTTACTTACTCCTATACTCTGTTTTACGATAATCTGGCAAGCTGTGGAGGCCTCCCAACCCAACAAGAGCATCGAAGTGAGGCACGCGACGCCCCGTGATGGCAGCGTTTGTGTCGCTGCGCCACATGCAAGACCCGGAGGAACCGGTTGTTGTTTGCTGGCCAAGAGTGGTCTGCTCCAAAACCGACCAACTTTTCTCTTTGAGAACACTTCAGGAGACAACCATACGCCCGAATTACCTGCAAATCTGTGGCGGGTACTAATACCAGGGCCAAGTTTTGAGCGGAATCGGTCGGTTATGAGACTGTGATCATTCAAACATTGATCAAAAGCCCCCGTTGTTCTAGGAAAAGGGTTGATCCAAAATAAGTATCTTTGAGGAGTAATGTGTCTTCGTCTTTCTTCCGTGTTGTGCAGCGTAGTGTCGATAGAGATGCAATTGGGCAAGTTCAACTGCTGTTAAAAGGAGCCTAGAACTACTTTTTGTCGTGGACGGCACTGTTGTTGTGTCGGTAACAAGGCTTCCGTGGCCGCGACTATGGAGTGTTGTTGCGTGCCTTGCTCCAATGCCCTTACTGGGTCATGGGGGCCGCAGCCTGCACAGTCCACCAAGCTATTGTGAAATGGTGTACAGTCAAACCCACTTATAACGGTCCCACATATAACGACCTACCGGCTTTCAGAAAATATACAAACTCGAGGCCCTACCCATTAAAGGGGTACGGAAACAAAAATTGAAATATTGAAATTTCGTTCGGAAATGAATCAAGCATGACGGGTACTAACCGTAAATGATAATTACACGTTTTTATTTTGAACGTCTTGATATATTTTTTGTTCCAAACGGTGCGCTCGAGCACACGCTCGAAGAGAAGCGAACGGAGTGCGCGATGCGCCATGGGATATCCGGCGCAAACAAAAACAGAAAGAAAAGATTTCCCACGTTCGTGGAGTAGCAAGGCAGGCGTGGTTACGAGCTTTGCCCTTGGTGGCGTTGTCAGCGTTGTGGCGGTGTCAATAGCGTCAGCGCGTTACAACCGAGCCATTCGAAGTACCCGTGGGGTAACGAGCGTGTGGCTGGCCCAAGGAGCACGTAGCTTCCACAACACTGTCAGCTTAGGGCTGAACGGGGTGGGAAAGCAACTTTTGTTCGAGTTTTGAGCGACGGGCTAATCTTCTAGAGGGAGAGTGCCTGTGTCCGGTTGCACAAACTAGGGTCCGAGAAAGAGGGGAGTCCTTCCTTTCCGCCTTTTTGGACCGTTTGGCACAATGCGCGACTTGTGAGTTGAGGAGGAAAGCTAAGAGGGAAAATGTTGAAATGCCAAAGAGCGGCGCTGATCCGAAGGAATCTGCTACGTCACGACTACGTAGCAGATTCCACAACGTTGCTAGACTACCTCCCAAATAGGCTCCGCATGCATCCGCCAGGTGCACATTGAAAGATTGTTCATTTAGCTTCAAAATTAGTTTTCTTGTGCCTTTCAACGGAAGACTGGTGTTTGTGAGGTTAGGGTGCAACATGCAACACATTCAAGCTAGAAAATGAGCACTGGAATTTCGTTTCCCTATCCCTTTAAAACTGGTCCAGATAAAACAACCGTTTTTCAAAGCATCATACTGTTACAACGAACACAAAGTCCGCGGAAGCAAAACAAAACTCCCGCACGCGCAAAAAGAAAAAGATAAAAACAGCTACATTCCCAGCCGCGGCACTGGGAGATGCTCAAGGTCATTTCCACGGCTGCGTCGCAGGGGGAAAACAAAACTACAAAAGCAAAAACACCCTCCCGGGTTGCGTAGTCTGCCGATTGTGCATGCGCGGGAAGCAGAAGGGGAAAAGAAGGAAGTCAATTCTCACGCCGTGTTACGTTCGTTCGTTCAATGTTTGCAAACTCTGTATTCAAACTCTATGCCCGGTATAAGGTGGCTAGCCCCATCACCATCGTGACCGTTTGTTTACGTTTGGGATTCACGGTTGCCGTGGAGACCGTCGAGAGGGCGGACAGACGGGTAGCAAAAAGAGCCGAGGCCCTCGAGGACACAAAACGAAGACTCGAGGACTGGTGGCGGAAAAATAGTGAAAGCTAAGAAGTGAAATACGGCTAGAGCGGAGCTCGGTCTCTACTCACCCGATACAAAGGGAAGAGACACCACGATCCAATCCAATCCAATCGCCATTTTGCCAGCCACCTGACAAGCTCGCTAAGTGTTTGAAAGACCCTGCCAGAGGCGACGGCCGCGCACTCGTACGTGTGCAGGAAGTGCGGCACTTAAAACGCTTTAGACCAAAGCAAGTTTTAATTACCTCTGTTGACAGCGAAGAACCATCGTCGGACTAGTGTCGGTCGGACTAGTGCACGGTATTTGTTTTCATGTAGGCGTGCGTTTCACAAAATCTGTTCTATGAGGTATGTGGTCAATCTTCATTATTTTACTTGCGTGGTAGAATCGGCAGCAATTTACTTTTGGATTATCTGAAAGCTAAATCAACTAACGTGTTAAAACTGGGGGTGCGCTAGAATTGTGCAAACAGTTTCAGAGTGAAACTATCAATACCAGCTGCATTATCCTTATTTATAATGTTTTAAAGGTAAGTCCAGATATAAGAAACCACTGATAAAAGAACCACTATCGCATTTGCTATAAGTGGGTTTGACTGTATAACGGAGCATCGTCACGACTAAACCACTCATGCCGTGTATATTGGATCTCCGGACAATGTTTTTTTAACCAATCATTTTTTCCACATATTGTCATAGACTGTAATGACCTTCACTCTGACACTGTTTCAAAATGTTCCAATTTCTCATCTGTGTTAATAGCCTTATGTTCAAATTATTGTTGTTTTGCATTGTTTCTATTTTCCTATCCAGCACCGTCAGCAGACAACTACCAGTTGGATTTTGTTCATAATCTCTCTAACTTTAAAAGGTATCCCCCTCCCCTCCCCCCCCCCTCCCTTATGAAATCTTCCGAAATGGGACCTTCGAGGGTTTAATAAATAAATGAATGAATGAATGAATTAATTAATTAATCAACACTTGGCTAGACTCTTCGGAAAAATTGGCAGAGCCTTCCACAATGGCCGGGTCAGAAATCTTCTTCAGATGGATCCAAGTAACGACGACGGGTCATCTGATGTGAAACCCCTGATGGAGCAACCCTGGACACGGTTAGGATTTTGAACGCCAAGGTACAAAACGTTACCCAGAGTAAGTTTGAGTAAGTATTTTTTTTTTTTTCAATTATTATTATTGAGATTACACAACACATTTAACAATGTTACGTCAAGGTACGAAAGAAGACTACCAGCAGGAAGGGTCGTACTGCACCACAAGCACGGTGAGGCGAAAGTAACAGTGTAGTGATCTCAAAACATTACCAGGACCTCATGTGCTTCATATGCCGCGTGCCAATCTACTAGAGTTCGCCGTCAAGCCTGTCCCGGTGGCTGTGCCAGTAGTGCCTCCATGCAAGTCCCCACAATGTACCGTATTTACCCGAATCTAACGTGAACCTTTTTTCCGGGGAAATAGGTCTGAAAATCACATGCGCGCTAGAATCGAGTGCGACCCAAAACTGCGCTACCGTATCACCATCGACATTTCAAAATGGCCGCTCCATTATCGGGTTGCATCACGTGCGATGGGCGAAAGATGCGTGGTACACGACCCCGTCTGCCGTGGTTATCAAGGCTTCAAAGAAATGTGGAATTTCTAACGCTATGGACGGCACCGAAGATGAAATGCTTTGGGTCACTGACAGCGATAAGGAGTCGTCTGACAACGATGACGAGTGATGCGTACCGCCCCACGGGCGCTGCACCGGACCGTTGTCGTGATGACGACCTTGCCGGCCGTTCATTTCGTCGCAAGATTGAAGCATTTGGAATAAACCTTCGTTGTTCCAAGTGAGAGAAAGTTTCATTTCTGTATCCAACCTACAAAATCTGGTGCGCGTAACAATCGAGGTCATCGCATTTTTTTTTTTTTTTCTTCGGACCTTGAAAAATGGGTGCGCGTTAGATTCGAGTAAATACGGTATTGGCAATGTGCGCAGCCAAACATGTTGCTGTGGTTGGCATTCTACAACTGGCCAAAATCTCATTATGACATCTTTAGTCGCAATAATTTGGCTTTCAACCATTAAAAAAGTAACGTTAGGCTCCAGACTTCGACGGCGTTGCTTTCAGAAGGCGATGCACTTTCTACACGGGCCATCAGACCTGCCGTCCGCAACTGATAAGACAGTTGCGAACATAGTAAGCCGTCGCAAGTGGTTCTAGCGCGCTAAATCAGTTTCTACGAAAATCTATTTATGGTCATAACTCAATCTATGAGCTCTAAGCATCCTAAAAAACCAAACATTACATTTGGGCATGGCCAATTTATTTGTTAAAATTGGTACCAAAGACTGATTAACTCAGGAATATTGCAGACACCAGAGGGCGCCATCGGACGAGAAGCAGAGGTGAAGTCTGGTGTCAGTGATGGTTTCGAGGTAATCAATCTTTGGTACCGAATTAATAGAGAAACCGACCACGCATGAATGTAATGTTTGGTTCTTTAGGGTGCTTAGAGCCAGTAGAATCAGAGCTATGACCATAAGTAGATTATCGCAGAAAGTGGTTTAGTGCCCTTTTCAGCCTCCAGTGTGTGACAACGAAAAGAAGGAAGAGCGACCTTGAGTGGTGATGCTGAGGCAGCTGGTGACCTGGATGGGCACGGGCAGCGGGTTGAGCCGCTTGCGCAGCCCATCGTGGTGGAAGCTCATCATGCCGTTGGCATTGTCCACCCGTCGGATGCCCGTCTGGCTGTACACGGCCCTGGGGAGGAGGAGACAACAATGCATCCCCCCTACACACAACCAGACAAGGCTCCATACGCTGCTAGAAAATTCAGGGGTGGAACTCAAGAAATGTACTTGGGAGTAGCCATGCGAGCAGCTGAAACCGCTGCTTTGGAGCAGGTTGGGAGCAGCTCAAATCAGATTTCATTGCACTTCAGCTTGTGTTTTAGACGAGCATGGGAGCAATTTCAATTGTGCTTAGCAGCACAGATGAACATGAGTGGTTAGGAAGCTAGGTAGGTGGGATAACAGTGTAACAGATGTGAAAACTTGAAATGTTGTGAGCCTTAATGACAACCAAAAAGCAAGTACCACATGTTTCTGAAGATAGTGTCCTTGATATTTTCTGAGTGGCTTTCAGCTGCTCAAAATGCAAACCAGCACTGCTTAAAGCACAACCCACACATGCTCGACATAGTAATTATATGCGCGAACCACGTGACAAGCGTAAGCAACGGACGTGCAGTTGCGCAGGGGAACAGGGCAACAAATTTCGAGTTTCTACTATTGTGCAACTCAATGTCGAAGCAGCAGACTACGATTAACGGAGTTATCATATTCGAAGCGATAAGCCGGAGGAAGGTTAAGGTACACCGAGCAGATCTACCGCTTGTGTGAGAGCTGCTGGGGGGCAAGGTTTTGGATCGGACCGCGTTTCAGTTCTATCAAATCATGATTTATCTTGCAGGAACGCGGTTCCAACTTCTAACGATGAAGTACCATAAGGAATCTTTTGCTAATCTGTTTTCAACTGGCCGACGTCCTGAACCTGAGCCGCAGAGCGTTAGGCGACCTGACGCCTAACAACTTGACCTCACCTCGGCCAACTTGCTTAACTGCCTATGGTTAAAGGATACAATCCAGTCGTGGGTGGTGTAGTGCTTGGAATCCGACCCCCAAGTTTTTTCTCGCGCTTCCGACTCGGAATACAGAGGGAAAATAAACAACAAAGGATTGCAAGGCCGACCAAGCTAAACGCGCTCATTGTTGCCAATCGAGTCGATAAAAATTGAAACCAAGACAAAATACAATTTTTTTTGCGCACATTGTGCGATTTGGAGCATAATGGCACGAGGTATTGTGTGTGGCACAGTTCCCACAAAATGGCGTAGGATGGGGCAAACAATTGCGTCTGGCGCAAATGGCACAGCTGTTCCAGCCCTGAAATAGACTTTCCAACAAGAGCTACGGTTCTGGGCCTCTTGGATAAACTAGCTCAGCAGCGGGTTACGCAGTGCGAAGCAGTTGGCGCAAACACGACACATTACTGTACCTCTAAAGGCAGATTTACCTTTGCTGCCCGAGCATGAATGTCTACTTTGCTTTTGCTTGAAACACTGGTTGACCTAGGACAGCCAGTTATTAGTGACAGATTTTCGTGGAGCACGACGCACTTAGCGCGGGCACACAGTCTCCCGTTTTTTTCTTTACCACTTGGTAGGCAAAGTCGACTGTACAGCGTGGTGGAATGTCCACATGTGAGGAAACAAAAGGTATGGGGTGCACGTCGTAGTCATCGACGAAAGCTGCACAGACGCACGACCGCTCCCGTCGGAAATGCTACCAAAAATTTTCCCTGAGTATAGCTTGAGCAGCAAAATTTGTGTTGGACTTTGGTGTGTTAGTAAACTGTGAACACATACTGCACTACATCGTAGATGAGAAATTTAGCTACGCTAGTACAGCACGATGGCTAGCCTGGAGCTTTTAACGAGCAACACGCAGTAGCGGCTACACGAATGCACGCCAGTGCAACCCTCGTCCAGGTTGAAACGAGCTGGGGTTGGGTCTTTGGAGACAAAAACTTCCTAAAACTGCATTCTTTCGAAAACGGCGATGGCTGTTGTTCTTCTGAATTTACCAGGCTTCTAATTTTGTGGATGAATATTGGAGCTATAAATCAATTTTTAATGTCTATGCGGGCTGAATGTGCATTAAAGTTGACTCTAAAACATTGTTTTCACAAAACAGAATTTTTGGACTCGTTGAAAATTTGCAGGAGGGATATCTCAGCACCTACAGGAGTCAGAAATATAACCTTTCTTGAAATCTGTTGCCAGGTGTGTGAAGCATACAATGTTGAGAGCAGACTTTTTTAATATAAGTCTAGAAAATTTTCTATTTGATCTTTTGTTTTATTACTTGTTAGCCATGCATTGAGCACTGAACTTAAATATGTTGTAAAATCACTAATAACAGGTTTATCTTAAATCACTTCCAACATTGTGTTCTCTACACCTCGTAGTATCTGGCCATGTATTAAAAAGGATATTTCGTTGAGCAGTTTTTCCCTATCACTCCTCCAAACAAAGACAGGCAAGTTTTAATCATCTTCAGGACAATTCTGCTGACTGAGGAAATTATATGAAATCAGCATAAAAAGCTGAACAAGCTTGTGCAGTTTCATTAAATTTGGTCATAAAATAAAAAAAAAAAGCTCCAAAACCAGTGTTCCCCCGTAAACGCGGGATCCCCAGGTCTTGCAGAACAAGCTTTCGCTCTACATGCTTCGTCGTATGGTGCGCCGTAGTCTGTCATAGGTTTATGATGGCAAAACAGGCTCCTTCCAAAAAAAACTCTCCATCCTTTCTACTTAACCAGAGCCAACAGTCGGGAGGAGGCGAGTGAAGAGGGGGAAACCACCAATTGGAGAGCTTTGTAAGAAGCTTATCTTGCTGTCCTAAACCCGCAACATAATACAACACCCTCGGACGCCGCAACGGTAAATGGAATGGCGATTTGCGGACGAAGACGTCCGCAATGCCCATTTCTGCCGCCACGCCGCCGGCAGGATCGTAACAGGCGAAAGAGCGACACTTCCACGACGTCGCACGGCGAATCGAGGGACCACTTCCGAGGACACGGTAAATGCACCAATCAAAGACGAATTCCGGGCATCGCAGTCACTCAAATCAAGTTGGGAGACGAAGAGCGTTAGGGTGAAGATGATGGCCGGCATTCCGGGCAAGGACGCATATATTTTTCTTCTACAAGTAAGAGACCACTATCGTCATAAATTTGTGGGGCATTCTAAATGCGGCTGCCGTCTCGCGGTCTTTCACGTCGCTCTCGCTCTCGCAACGTCGCGCTCGTCCCTCCGAGTCGGTCAGCGCTTTCGAGCATTGAACAGGGGGCCCACTCACTTGACGCAGTTGGCGAAGACGGAGGCGCTGATGACGCTCTTGCGGCCCGCCTTGCTGCAGAAGGTGACATACTCTGCGTAAATGTCGTTGCGCGCCACCGAGCAGCCCGGAGGCGCCGGCTCGTACATTGCGCGCACCCACGTGCCCGCAAAGGCCTCAGTGTCCAGCGGGTCGGGGGAGGGGGCCGCCCCCAGGGTCAGCACAGGGGACGGGGAGGGGGCGGCCTCCGGGGGAGGGTGGGGCAGCATGGCCGCCGCCACCCGGGGGTGGGGGGGAGGCGCCGAGGAGGAGGGCCCCGTGACCGGCATGGCGGGGGGCAAGAGGGGGTCCACCGTCTCGATGAGTTTCATCCCCTTCTGGGCCAGGGGCCCGTACGCCAGGGGGTCCAGGGTCAGTAGGGACACCAGGATGCCGATGGATTTGTGCACCTGGAGGCGAGGGGGCGTTCATTAGCCAAGTTTTGGCAGCCTAACAATGTTGTACAGCCGTCAAAAAGGTGAAAACAGCAGCGACAACGTTGTACAGGCCCCGCCATCCGCGCAAGCTTCTGACTTTTCTCGACACCTCGGCGTTTCGTGCACCTCGAGTGCACGTGCGCAGCTCTAGAAAGAGACGCCCCGCCATTCTCACATTGCCAGCGACTATAGTGCTGGATTTAGCATGTCCCTTGACGGAAGCACACACGGGATGCAGAATGTAAACGAGCGCTACGTCTGCAATCGGCTCCCTGTTCAAACACAAGTCCCGGCCGAACGCCTACGCGGCGCTTCTGTCAAATCTGTGTCCCGCAACTGCCCAAATATAAATGACGTGGAAGATCCGGCAAGACGGCCTTGCCACCCGAGGGCTGTTAGTCGGGAAAGGGAGAAGGAACGACGTTACGGCAGAACTTCTTTGTAACGGGGCTAGATTACTCGGGAAAGCTTTTTAGTGTGCCCCAAAACATCCACATCAATCCGCACCTTCCATTAAAAAGAGTCTTTAGTAGAGAGTGCCTTAACTGTACCAGTTTCTTCGTTGTTCCAGGGGTCTAGCCCGATTTCGCCGCTTCTTTCAACGCGCCGTGGGCAGTATTTTAATGCGAGAGCATTAAGTGTCCCATGGAGCGAAGCTGGCGTTGTCTGTAGTCGTCTGTAGTAGAAAAACAGCACCTAAATTCCCATTCACTGCGACGCATCATGTGGCCCCATAGCAACGGTATCATCGTTGATAAGGAGCCAGCCGAACTGCTGACGGTGCAGTGGGAGGGGGGAAACACAGGATTAAGCTGGCCCGACATTAGGCCTGACGTTAGGCCTAACTTTAAGTTTTGAGGTTTAACGTCCTTTACCGGTACCCGCAACTAGGGAAATGATGATGATGAGACGACACATAATTTCAGCACGTGCTGCACCGCGCTTCACGCTCCCGCCGCTGCCTCACCCAGCGGCGCAACAGTCACCAGCAAGCCAGGGCGGCCTGTGCGGCACACCGCCACACTCTCTCTGCCAGCGCTGCAGCCGCTTGTGTTCCTCTCAGCACCGAGAACGCTTTCACATTCACAACTCATAAGAAGTGCTTAGGTACCGTCAGAATTTTTGTTTCATGCCTTCCAGAGTGCCGCAGCCAAAGCACAACAGAAGGCACGGAGTGCATGCTGGGGGCCTAGCGTCAAAAAGAAGCGCCATCCTCACTATCGGTCACCACAGCAGTCTAAATGCCACGTGTTTAAAAGAGTGCAGCCCGATCGGCCCCTCACCAGCAGCAGCCTCTCGCAGGCATCTCGGCCCATCTCGCTGAGCATGTACAGGGCCTCGAGGGCGTAGATGAGCAGCATGAGGTCGTGGACCGTGAGCAGCTCGAAGATGCGCCGGCACAGGGGCGCGTCCAGCTGGGGCAGCAGGGCCCGAGCGTTGCGCTCCTGGCGGCACAGCCGGGCCAGGATGTCCAGGCAGCGCACCACCAGGTAGCGGTCCTGCGACTGCACCCCTTCCCGGGCCAGGCGCAGGAGGGCGCACGACCAGCGCTGACGCTCCCCGGCCTCCTCCTCCTCCTCCTCCCCCCTGACCCCCTCCTCCTCCTCTTCCTCCTCGCTGCCGGGGTACAGCACCAGCTGCGGGAGTCACCCAACGTTCAGCACGAGAGAGCCGTAAACTGTGGCTGCATATGCACCATCTAAACAACTACCTAGAAAACTGCCTAAATTGCCTCCAGCAGAATACAAGAGCCCCCTCACCTTGGATGCCAAGTTTCCTATTGTGTCCAGGGCAACTTGCCGTAGCGACGACCACCTGCTCAGGGCACACAGCATCACAAACCTGAAAACGACCAAAGACGAAAACATTAAAAAGGAAAAAAAAGAGAAGAACACTGTCGGAAAACCAATCAAAGAGAAGTGAATGTGTAGGCCCCGCAACCGACGATGACCCGTGATACGCACGAGACTAGGCACGTGCAATGTGCAAAGCAATTGACCGCGTTGCGCGTTGTGTGTCGAGCATAAAAAAAAATGTTGGGATGAACTACAACCCAACAACTACAAAACAGCCTTCGAGGCAGCTTTTACGCAACGCAGTGACAAAAATCATTCGCACTCTCTGCTCAACTACACCATCTAGTTATCTTCCCTGCTAATTGAGGTTGTTGCTGGCTAGCGCCGCTCAACTTCGCTCAGCGTCTGTCGGCGCTCAAGTAGGACACGACCCAATCGGTCGAAAGAATGTCTACAATCGCACAGCGAAGCCAAGGTCCTCTGCGCAAGTGTATCTCTGCAACGATAGCAAACGTCAATCTCGTTTGTGCGCGTGAATATCGAGACAGCAAAGCGAAGAAAGTTTTTACGCTCACCGACGTCACGTTAGATGACCCTTTAGTAGTGCTCTTGTAAAGAGTCCCTACAAGCGAAGAACAGTGTGAGCACCCACCTGATGAAAGTCCTGTTCCTTGCTAGCACCGAAACGTTGCGCTCCTCAAACGAAAGGTTGTGGAAGATCAACGCAATCTGGGGTCGGACAGCAAAGGAGAGGAGAGAAAGAGCAATTGCTTTGTCAGTAATGCACCTTTGGCTAAATAGCATAAAGAAGCAGTGGCCAGGTGTGGTACTAGCAAAGCTTAGCCAGTAAAAGTTTGTATTCTTGTTGACGGCTTGTCTCGAAATACACAAGTCACCTGTATCGTCGACCCATAGTTCACATTCATCTTACGAAACTTTTACTAAATGCTGATGCATGAAAACACTTGTCTAAAATGGGTGACATGATTATGTTTATTTGAATGCACACACCACAGCATAAAAAAGAAACATAAATTAAAAGGTTAGAGGCAACGAAAGTGCGTGGATAAGCCAGTCTCTCTCTTGAAGACATTGTTAAAAACCCTATAACTAAGGAGATTAACCAAATTTTTCGGAAAAAACTTTTTGTCCACTTGCTCGATATTACAGTAAAATCCTGCGAAAACACCCACTTCGCTCAAGTGCCTACTATTAACTTTTCCCGAACTTGGGAATTCTGCTAATTACGCATTAAGCGCCCAATTTGACCGAACAGGCGCCCCCGTCTAAATGAACTCAGTTTTAAATGAAAGGTAGCTAGGCACTCTCCCGGTATTCTACGGTAGAGCATTATGGTTGTGTCCATCACCATTTGGAAGCGGTGAAAAGGTGTTAAGGAAAGATGCTGGGCGGAGACACTTTTTTTATAGATATATTTGCCCTATGATAATGAAACTTCAGCTAGTTGTAAAGTTTTCTCTTCTCTTTTCAAGACAATTAATAGTCTGAATGTAATTTTATAGTTTTGTGTTCACAGGCAGAAACAACCACATAGGAAGGGTTTTTGATGCAGACACCTAGGCACACTCATTTTTTTTTTATAAGGAGCACGGTGCGATAGCTCATTTTGCTCCCAGTAAAGTGGAGAATGCCAGTATCTAGCCAAGAAATGTAACTTTTTTTTTTTTTTTTTTTTAGAAAATAAAAATGTTAGAAGGCTTTTTTTTTAGAAGCCCTTTAGAAGTTAGTTTGCAAAAATATAGGATATTGCAATTTCAAGTAGAGGTCGGCACCTCCCCCTACCCTTTAAATAATACTTTTTATTATTATTGAAAGACGCTAAGTAACAAAAACTGAGTGCACAAACTGTGAAGACAACCCAAAGTTGCTAAACAATAAAACTGCATTTGAAAGTTTGAAAGATATGTACTCAAATATCGGCTGCAATTACATGAAATATTGCAAGAACATACGTAGGCTGTTCGGGAAACGTCAAGAGTCAATAAACCGTCCCACACTGTATGCTGTGCCTTTTACAGTCCCTACAGCACCATGTGCCGTCAGTCATTGGCTACATTGGCTGTTCCCCCTTACGTCAGCATTTCAGTCATCATAAGGTTTTGGTTGGCAGTTTTCGTGGCAGCGGCATCAACTTTGTTTTCAAAGGCAGTGATTTTCTTTTTTGTAGTGCTGACAATTGTGAACGAAGTATCGATTGTGTAAGGATTGCAACGATTGCACCGTTATGGCGGCTCAGCTTAGCAGGCCGCAGTAAACGTTCCTCCACCGGCGTTCTCCGCTCGCAATAGGGTTTTCTTCTCGAGTTCTAGACGCAAAAATAGCGCGTTTTAGTTTTGCCTATCACAGATCGAATCGGAGAAACGTAGAAAGTACTGCTGTCATGAGCAGCAGGCTTTCAAAGATGGCCGATATTCGCATGAACTTGAGATTTTTCGAGCCACAGCGAGTCGGTCACATACGTATTTTTCCAAACTTCTTGAACAAATATTGTTTCTATTTTTTAACTTGTAAAAGTAGTATGTCCGAGGATAATAAAGCAAGTGAAAACAAAATAATGACTATATAAAAGATAAACTTGATTCTTCGACGGGCATCTCCCATCCATAAACCGAAACAAAATCATTTTTCGACCAACACATGACACAGCACTGGACTGGCGGGACACATGAAAAGTACACTTGCAAAAGGCTGACAGCAAACGAGAAGGAAAAAAAAAGAAAGCATGAAATGAAATGGCCTTACCCTTAACACTCTTTGGCCCTCTATACTTCTTGTTCCAACCTCATAATTTAAGTTAAAAAGCTCGTCGTCGTCGTCTTTGTTACCTGCAAAACAGGGCGGACAGTCAAGCGTGTAAGTAAGAGAAACCCCAAAACATTGATTACCAATGTAACACGAACGGTACAAAAGAAAAGCATTGGCTTCCTCTGTGGACAGCATACAGCAATGCTTACTGCTACGTTGCTGGTAACAACTATCCAATGCAGCGATGCTAGTAATTAAACTTCAGCTCCAACTCAGCTTTGAGCCACGAGCCAATATCACAGTCAAACAAACAGTCCAGCTAAAAAAAATATAACACTCCGAGTAAGTTGCAAAAGTGCTACACCCTGTTCACCACCAAGCTGACACAGTGGTAAAAGCTTGCCAGGCCAATCGGCCGGCTCCCTTTCATTTCCAAACATGCCTTCCGCATCTGGGTGCGAGCAGAAACGCGATCATGTGACCAGAGACTGACGAATGACTGGTCTGAAGAGCACGCAGCTTCCACTGCTCTGCCAGCTTAGCGCAGAGTGCCTCAAGATTGCCGGGCTGGCGATTCTCCCAGAGTAAGGACAACTCTGTTGTCTGCCAGCCAAACCACCATCTTGACTCCCACTCGTACGTAGCCTTTTATGGGCTGTTTACGCAGTTACTGAGCATTACCACTTGCAAAAGTGATGCGGGAACCTTAAGAAGACGTGACGTCACATGTTCCATCAACCATGCACTTGTTTTTGGCGCTCAGTGATGGAAGCGCCATTCAACCTTTTTTGGAGCAGGCAACACTGGTTTGGAGCAGCCACTGACGCCTTTGGAGCAGAGGCCAACATCTTTTAGCACATCACTCAAAAATTAAAACATGATTGTGCCACTGGACGAGTTTATCTATACATGGCTTGCATGCGGCATCATTTGCGGCCATGTCAGTATTTCTGTGCACCACGAGCTTTCAGTTTGCCGTGTCAGTTTCACACCGCAGAAGTTTTAGTTTGAAGAAACCAGCAAGTAGAAATGACTGTCAGAGCCCAGCAATGGTGACACAAGCTCTTTTAATAATAACCGAGGCCTCCTCTTTGATACTGTAGGTACTTAACCTATTTTAATAAAATAAATAGGGCACAAAAGAAACAGAAGAGTAGGTTTCATTTAGAATGGGTATTAAATAAACGGTTGAAAATGAATTGTTGCACAACACTTCAGTTAGGACTTTCCCGCCTCCCCGTTTTACATTCCGTAGTTTATTTCACCTGTAGATACGATTTCTGTAAATAGCCTGCAAAAACCAGCAAGCTTGCTAATGGGTCTACTAATGAAAACACACCCCTCAAGTTTTATAAACATCCAAACTCAAATACTATGCTATGACCTAAGATCAAACGAACTATACAGTGAGAAGTGATGTTGTGAAATATGTATCTGAACCATTTTGCTCTTTTTCAAGTTCTCCAAATAATAACATCGGCCAATAATAAAATATTTTTATTTTTTGCTTTATTTAAGCCCATGTCGGCATGGGTGTGGCGCAATTCTTATAGAAAATGTCATTTTGGCGCAAGATGTGGCAGACCTTCGTTTATGGCACAATTTGGCACAAATGGTGAGGCACTTCCATCACTGAGCTGCATTTAATGATAGTGTAAAAGCAATGTACAGATGACAACATTTGCTGTGCTTCAGTGCATTACCGAGTCGAGGAAGCCTTTAACTGAAATAATTTATCACGATCTCAACGAGTACTTCATAATTTGGAATTTTCAAGGGCACAAGCCAATCCACTGGTCTCATGTACACAAGGTCAACACACTGCGGCTCTTGCCCTCCCAAAGGATATCACCACTGTGGCAAGGTGCAGCCAGTAAGCAACATTGAGGCACTCTAGCTTAGCGGCAAATGAAGCAGTGAATGTGCCCTTACAAATCGACCCAAAAGGCAATAAGAAGTTGAACTAGTTGAAAAAAGTGTAAGCTCCTTAAACTTTGCTGTTTCTGAGTGTGCAAGATGAAAGAAGAAAAAAAAAAGTATTTGTACAGTTGCGAGAAATAAACAATTCAGGTTCAAAGCAATTAAAAAAGTCACTCCAAGTACAACTTCCTGCCGTGACTGCTGACACTATTTATGTATCTTGTTCCTGATGTCACTAGGCTGCACCGCACAACAACTTTTCCCACCTACAAAAATCTCCACAAAGAGATGCTTCTTCGTGGCCAGTCGGCGATATTCAATCAGCGGTGCTCGAAGGCCGTACTAGCGAACGTGCACTGGAGGTACATGCACCTCCCACAAAAGCAAGAACACAAGAAAGTAAGGGCAGCGACAGCCGAGCACAATCTCCGACACAAAAGGAACGCGTCGCACAGTGAGGGGAAAAAATCCGGGGCACCCACCTCTGCCGATATTGAACAGGGCTACGGTGTCGGCATCTAAATTGTCTTCCCAGAACCGCTCCATGCGCCTGCCTTCCACACCCTGCCAGCACTCGAGCAGCGTGGGCCGCAGCGTAGGGTCGTCTGCAAACGGCCGCAAAAGAGAGCTTGCTGAGGCGGATCGCTCAAGCCCCCAAATTCCGTAAAACGACTTTAAATTACGCGTTACCACGGGCCTCGTAACTATCAGGCTGCGGCGAAGCCTCCGTGGTAAATTTAGTACAAATTCTTTACCATTAGTATATTTACATCATCCTCATACTAAATGCTGGTGCAAGTATAACAAGCCTATTGCAACTAACTTCCACGTAAAAAAAAAAAAAGAGGTGGCAAATTGTGTCTAACTCTGCTTGTGAAACCAGAGACATCTTGTAACGAAAAATAATGCCGCACCAAAGTTTTTGTTTGTTAAGGTTACTTTACAAAACAGGAACTGCATGTAACAAAGGTGAAAGTTCTCCCGTCTACCGAGGGGGGGGCCCTTTTGTGGCCACTCCGGCCCTCGACATGCACCGTGCATCTGTCCGACACCTGCTACGCACAAAGGTGGAATTGCCTAGAGCTCGCATGCTCCGATGACTGCTTTTGGGAGGGATCCGGACCGTCGCGTCACAGCAAACGACGCTCCGTTTCCTGTCAGCACTTTTTATCTTACATCCAAGTCCGTGGACCTCGTGGTGAGTTAACACCGGGCTCAGGAGAAAATGAGTTGTAAAGAGCACCCCTTCTACTTTGATCTCCTTGCCAATAAAAATGGACAATGTGAGCGAGAGGCGGGAGCAGGGTGGAGAGGCACCCACCATTGGAGAAGAGCCCCGCCTGTGCGAGGAGGAGGTCGAGGAGGCGGGGCACGCGGTCCAGGCGCAGGGCGTGCCTGCCCTCGTTGGACAGGAGGGTGCACACATTCAGGCTGAGGGCCTCCTCATTGGGCAGGCCGCTTAGCAGGGACAGGCACAGCTTGTTGTACTCCGACGGGGGGCCCAGGCTGGCCGCAAGGCCCAGGGCCAGCCGCTGGCTCTCTGAAAAGGGGGCCAGGTTCAACGGCCAAGAACTGCCTCCCATGGACAACGTTCGTATATCTATCAGTAGACAAGCTCGAGAGAAGAGCGTTGTTCGAAAACGAAACTTCGCTGTTGCCCACACACTGACAGGTACGGGCAGATAGAAATCCTAGCGCCACCAGTGGCACTGTTCGCACGGGCTACAGAGGAAAAAGATTTTTCCAAACAACGCTTTTTTTTTAGCAAATTTCTGCACAAACTTTATGTTCGCCATAAAAACCCCAATAGAATCACTTTCCACCGCAAGCAACATGTGTCCGACGCTCTACCGGTTTTGTCGTTTCCGTCCCTATGGGTTTAGCGTAGTGAGCCCCACCGAGCAGGTGCCCCACGAAGAGGCGCCCAGACGTTTTAGGAGGCTTGGCAACCAACTTCAATCTAGGAACGTTGTCCGCGGCATCCCCAGACTGTCTTGGTCCGCCACTTTCTAGGTAACAAGGCTGCGGTACTGGATTGGCTACGTTCCCTGCTGGAGGGCAGTGCAGGACACTGACAGCGGAGGCTCTTAAATTTCTGAACATCAGACCTATACTCTGGGTCAACGCTTTTGTGCTACATTGTCGGAGCTAGCGTAGCTTCCACTGTGCAGCAGTCTCGCACTGCTGCGAGAGCACATGGCTTTGTCTTTTGCACCTGATTTGCATGTGCACCTAGCGTTGACAGAGTTGCAGCACTGTGGAAGCTAGACTAGCTTTCACCAAGTAGCACAGAACAGTTGACGCTGAGTGTACACCAACGCGCGGGATTCAGGACGCTGAGCTGCGGCAGCGCTGCGATTGCGGTAGGTCAGCCAGGCGGGCGAGGTGTGGGCAAAACAGCGAGAATTTCGCACATGCAACGCAGCAATTTGGCCTGCCACGAAGCTACGTGGCTTTCGGTTGCGCCAAACAGTACTGCAAAAGTTGTGAAATAAGCTTCTACAAGTTAAAGGTGGACGCTGACAGACGCATAAAACAAACAACCTGCGTGGATAAAAAAAAAAAAAAATTTTTCTGCCTCGCACAGACGATTGCTTGTGTGGTTAGCCTTCATTGAAGGTTAGTGCGCAGCTTCCACGGCAATCGTTCTTCCGAGCACTGAGGCACGCCTATGCTAGGGACATCATCTGATCCAAACCACCCGGACTTCATTATTACAGTGTTTGCAAACAAGTTGCTGCCCAAATTTTCTCGGTTGCTCACTACACCCAGGCATCGTAAGGTGCATGGTGATGCCGTCGCAGGCACCGTAAGGTGCTTGCAATGGCATCACTTTGGCTCGTACAAAGCACAACGTGGAGCCTTAAGGCGTCCAGAACTCCCAGTCGCGTACCAGGCTTGTGGCGTAAAAAAGTGCAGTTAAAATTCCAACGCGAACAACTCCCGATCTATTCGCACGCATAGCGCTCAACCAGTTCTTACTAGACTCAAAGTAGTTGTATGCCTCGAGAGACTTGTACGCTGGCACCAGGTCGGCCATAAATTAGCTCGGCGAAAAGACCAGGCAGACGACAACGTGAGCCACCAAGGTTGGCAGCAGCAACCAAGCAGATTTGGCATCGGAGCACTAGCGCTCCTTGCTCACGGCGAAGGTATCCTCGAAGGCGACGCCGTCAACACACAGTTCTTCGCCGTATCGCTGCTGCTCAAGCTCTGGCAGTGAGCGCTGATAGTCCGACATAACAAATAACAGAATGAGACACAAAAAAAAAAGCTAAAAACGCTGCAGTTCAGTTAATGAGCGCACAGCCCGCATCGCAATGGGGAAAATGCGGCGAGAGCGGTAGCTTTTGCCCGCACCCCTCCTTCGCATGCGCAGCTCTCCTGTCGTGTTTGTAAACAGAGTGCGCCTCGTGTCGGTGTGTGAGAGCTTGTAAGCAATTTCACCACCACCGCAGTAAAATCCCCCCCCCCCCTCCCCCAAACCCCATCCAACACTTCCCAAAACGGGAACATAGCAGCAATCTGTAAACTTCTTAACAGAGGTGTTAGCACAAACTGGAAGCTGGACAGTTCAGGGGTGCGAGCTTGCTCATCATGAGAGTGAAAGCTACAGTTAATTCGACTCTCGCGGGGCGAGCCAAGATATTGTTAGCAGGCGATTCGTCCGCCATGGTCACAGACAAGGTGAAAACTGCAGGGAGGAGCTTCGGTTGCCCTGCCTCAAGCACGAGCTTTCTACCTTCAACCACGCTTCGTCTCGTGCATCTCGAGCGCGCGTGCGCGCAGCCAGAGGACGGCAGAAGGCCTTTCGCCGTCTTTGGGCGTCCGAAAGACGCGCCCTGCCATGCTCGTTCCGACAGCGGCTACGAAGCGGCCCGAGTGGGACGCCGCAAGAAAAGGCTTTGTTTCACCCACCGGGGATATCATGCTGTGCACGGTTGTAGAACATGGGCACCTGGACCAGCACCGAGGCGTTGGACTTGCGGTTGCGAGCGTCCGAGCTCGGCTCCCCTTCCTCGTCCGCATCTTCGCCCAGGAAGTGCACCTTCTCAAAGAGGCTCAGGTACCTGCAAAACGGACACACACACTGTATCTTCTACCTTGATTATTGCTTCATAATCACGTTCTAGAATGATCTTACTCCCCTACGACTGTGACCATTGGCCCCAAATTAACACTTTGTGGAAAGCTTACGTATACCGCATTTTTCGGACCAAAGCCCACAGCTGCTGCCTAGCCCGCAATCGAAAAAATTCCCGTACACTGCACACCTTGACAAACGCCTGCTTTGTCGGGTCACAAAGAAGCTGGTAGCATGCACAGATCGACATTAACGTACACTGTTACTCGCAACATTCATCGCATTTCGTCCGAATTGACAATCTAGACAAACAAATCCTTGCATAGTCTGCACCGCGTAAAAATTAAACTTTTAATCGTCTGTAGCCCGTAGAGTCTAGTCCAGAAAATACAGTATTCACTATACACTTATTGGGTACAATGTGTTTTTGAATGCAGCACCAATGTCTTTCATCGGCACACTGCTTGCTCTGCGTTTTCATTCTAAAATTTTCCTTTTCAGCTACAATCACGCGTAACTATTACTCGCGCAATATTCAGGATAGATTCATTCGGGAAAATGTGTTCTTACATACGCCAAACCAATGCACAGGTATTCTTCGCTCGCTCATACAGCAGACTGTTCGTTGTGCAATCTCGACTCTAGAATTTTCACCTGTGACCGGCTGCTTTGGTGCCTGAAATTGCAAATGTTGCTATACGTAGTATTCATTAACGGCCATAGCTGTGCACTCTGCGGTTAAGCGCATGCTGACAGCGACAGTTTGCCAGACCCCTCCCGCACCGTCACAAATGTTGTTCGTGGCGGATGATAAGTTGCTTTACCCCCAGCCTGAGCTGATCATGGCGTGCGAAAACTTTTTAGTGGCTCTGAATGAACGTTGAAAGCAATTCTTATCTACAGGAGTTTTTCTTTTTTTGCCTTACAGATGTTTTAGTAAAGTCGTGAAAACTACACTATTGCAGTCTGTGCTGGTGAGTCATACGGCCAGGGGGAAATAATACAGCGGGCTAATTGTCGCAACAAGCAAAAATAAATAATATTTGTTAATGAAGTTTTTAATTATTGGAAATAAACATATGGTTCCAATTATAATCTTGCAGAGCGTCATCAGAAACTACTTAATCGGTAATTTTCGGAGAAGATTGAGCTCGTGGGATGAGCAGCAGTGCACTAAAGTTATTGATACTGCAACAGGCAGTGAGACACAAGGCTGTTGGTGAGAACACGCTGATGATAAGAGATGGAAAAACCAGATGGGTGCATTATCGCACCAGTAGCATTGCTCCTGATGCACAAGTGGCATCCAATGCGACCGATTTACTATACTAGTCTTCAATGACGCTCTGCAAGTTTCTGATTAACATAATACAGCAATTAACACTGCAGTGATGTGATTGGCCTAAGCCATTTTGGAGCGCCTTTCAGAGCAGCCAAAACAGTGTTTTGGAGCAGCAAATGTGGCCTTAGAGCAACCAAAACAGGTTTTTGGAGCAGCAAAAGTGGCTTTTGGAGCAGCCAAGACAGTGTTTCGAAGCAGCAAAAGGGGCTTTTGGAGCAGATATTTTTAGGAAAATAAAAATATTGGTTTTAAGTGCTGTACAAACAAAGAACAATTTGTGGTTATGATTATAATGCAATTAAATACAAAGGTGCAAGCCAGCTGGACAAGGATGACGAAAATAATCCCTTGAGAAGGGGAACAAGAGGGACGAAGGACAAGAACAAATCTTTTGTGTTGTGTTCTGATGCGACGTGTTGTGACGGAACTTGCTGCTTGTGTTTCTACTGCCGAGCCATCCCACAAGTTTACAGTGCTGTAAAAATTAATGAGCCCTTCAAAAAAAAAACGCTTGCCACCGTTTTACTGGTTCCCAACGTGCCAGATTTCCATCAAAAATAAGCAAACGTAAAACAATAAATTGCAAGCGTCCAGGCTGGTGCCTCTGTCGTGCTATCATGTTCGCAAGCACGTAAGGGCAACTTCGGCAGGCTCGCAGTTGCGCGAGCGGAGACAACGGCTGTTCGATCGAAACCGAAATCATGCCACTCCGCTCCGTCGCCAACTGGTTCCCGAAATTGTCCGCAAAATGTAACTGTCAAGCATATGACAAAAAACAGTCCAGCGGCGCGTGCTTACAAGGCCGGCAAACGAGGTACAAATGCGAAATACACACATGCACACACCAAAAAAAAAAAAAAATCCTTAGCGCATTAATGCAAGACATTGCGAGCCAGGGTCAAAACGTTCCCAGAGCGCTTTCTGCAACAACTGAACTCGAGACAAACAAGCGCACTGTGCGGGTTTAGCGTGCCGACACTGCCTTCTTTGCTTTAGCTCGCTTCTCTTCAACTTTCTGTGGCTGCCAGTTTTTTCATGTACCGGGGTCCCTCTCGAAAGAAAGCCCACTAAGAGAAACCTAGGTAATCAACACTTTGAGTTAGAGAGGAATTTTTGTAATAACGTATGATTTAAACAAAAACCGGAATGCTGATGAACATGCGGCGGTACTTAATTCCTTTCATCTTGGAAAGCACCATATCTTCAGCGACATGGGGACAGCAACACCCGACATCGCACGACCACGGTAACTGGAAGGCAGGGACCGAATATAGTTTTCTCACAGTCGTTGCTTTCAGGAACGAGTGCATCAGCTCACGAAGTAACTCCCGCCGTGCAAAAACTTGGTTTCGGTTCACAACACGACAGCATGGCTGGTACCTGGCACGCTAGACTTAGTTTTGTTTTTGAAAGACGACCGAAATTAGAATTTGGCGCAGCCTTGGTGCAGATTACCCATATTTTGGCAAAATGTATCAGGATGTAGCAGGGTTAGCCCCTTGGCGCAGTATGGCGCAATTGGTGCAGCAATCACATCATTGCATTGTGACAATTAGCCTCGTACATTGTATTCCCCAGTCACGTAACTCACCTGCACAGACTGCATTAGTGTCACCTTCAGCTTTTCTTTTTTTTCTTAACAAATCTGTAAAGCCTAAACAAACACTATAATTGGAATGCATTTACTGGACAAAATGTTTTTATTTCAAACCAGTCAACCCTCAATATCATTCTTATCTGAACCTCCCGAGGGAAGGCAGCAAAAAATATCAAAAGCAAGTTGCCACACTTGAACTGGATAACCAGCAGAGAACACCTCGAAACGATGCCCAAGCCTCAGGCACCAGCACCTCAGAAAAGACAGCAGGACGCACAACACCACTAATTACAATCATAGTTTACTTACTGCAGTACCAAAGACAAACAAATGTAATGCCTTATCTGCTGCACTACCAGAGATAACAAAGTTAATATTTTATCTCCTTCAGTACCAAATTCAAACAAATTTCACAAACAATAAGTTTAAGGGGTGCCACCCACAAATACTTTTGCAAGCCCAACTTTTCAGATCACTTTTGAAACTAACCATCCAAAGCAACATAGGACTAAAACAAACAAACAGGGTTGTATAAAATAAACAGGCATTTATAAAAGCGTGTCTGGGAAGGACAGGTAACACTTCCAGGATACAGGCTTCATCTTTTTAACTGTCTGTTGCACCTCCCCTTCATGCAAATGGTTAGTAATTTTATACAGCACAGCCACCAAATCATGTGTCAGCACTGAATACTCTCAGATACCAAATTTGTGCAAATTAAGAGCCCCCAAAGGCACAAGTTAGCACAGTTTTGCTGTGGGCTACGTCTTGAAGAACAAACATCACGCACCAAGCAGAAAACCAAACCTCGAATGCATCAAAACAGCTGCTGATAGAGCACGGATAAGAATACACGGACATCTGCGCATATTCATGGTACCTCATCAACAAACAGTCTCCAGATCCAAGCAAACAAAGCGACACAAGCAAAGGAAAGAAGGCATAAAATTATGAAACTACAAAACAAAAGATTTGCCCCCCCCCCCCCCCTTTTTCTTTTCCTGCCAGGTGCAAAATAATAGAGTTCAAATATTGAAAGAAAAAAAAAGACAGCCTCCTCTTGAAACACCACCTGTTCAAACTCGCAAGCATAAAAACCGGTAGTTTTCCAGGAAGAGAAAGATAGCCGGTAGAGCAGATTGCCCCGAATGGCGTCGTTTCCTGAGCTGGGTATGTGGATGGTCCTCGCTTAAAGGCCAGGAGGCACCCAGCAAAAGAAGACAAAGATGGGAAGTGATAAAATGATGCAAGCAATAAACATTGCAATAAAAAAAATGTTAAAAAATATTTAATTTTTGCTTTTTAATACAAACATGTTCCTTGGGCAGTAAAATGGATTGCATAGGCCAAAGAGGTGAATTACCAAGCTAATTCACCTCTTTGGCAGATCAGCAGCTCACGGCAATTCTTTTACAACCGCCCGTTTATCCGGAGAACTAGCTTATCTAACCACTCCTTTTCCCAGATGATCGTTGACTGGAACGACCTGCCAGACTTCATCGTATCACATAAAAACTCTAAAGCCTATGGCAGAGAACTAGCAGCCCTTTTTTCTTCATCATAAGGTGGAATTTTAGTAATGCACATATTGTTTCTGGATGTTTTGATGGCGACTGTCTTTCCCAAGGGTAGTTACGCAGAGTTTTACTACATATTTTTACACACCTGAACCGTGTTGTCTCGATAGTGGAAACACCATTAAGATCCCTCCCCCGCCCCCATGTACTGCCCTCCAGGAGGCCTTTAAAGGAGCCTGAATAAACAAATAAATAAATAAATCATTAAATGTCCCATGATGGTGGTGCACATTCAAAGATTTTTTAAATCAAGCGTTTTTGATGTTTCGCTGGTCGTAATCGGTTATATGTTTTATAATTCAAACATATTTCATTGAAGACCATTCAAACAAAAACATGTCTGACATCTGTCTGGCTAGAAAGACGAGACTGACCAACTGAGGCCAAATTCACAAAGAGCTTCGTAGTTTACGACAGCTTAGCTAAGAAGCTTTTAAGTTAAAAACGTCGTAAGAAGAGGAGAAATCGAT